CAGCCACTAACAAATCTCAAGAGGATGAATTTGGCTGAGTCAAAGAATCTGAAAGAACTCCCGGATTTTTCTAATGCTACAAATCTGGAGAAATTGGATCTGAGGCGATGCGAGAGTTTGGTAGAGATTCCATCGTCCTTTCAGTATCTGCAGAAACTAGAAAACCTGTGGATGGTGGGCTGCATAAACCTACAAGTCACTCCTCCTGACCTGAATTTGCCATCTCTAGAAGTCATCACCATGACAGGATGCTCAAAATTGAAAACATTTTCATTTATTTCATCCAACTTGACAGATGTGGATATATCAGCCACATCCTTTGAAGATGTGCCTCCATCAATGACGCTTTGCTCTCGTCTTGACTATCTCTGTATACAGAAAAGTGAAAATCTCAAGGGAATAACACATCTCCCCACGAGTTTAACGTGTCTAAACCTAAGCTATTCTAGTGTTGAAAGGATTCCAGATTGCATCAACGCTCTTCATCAGCTAGAAGAACTTTATCTATATGGCTGCAGAAGACTCGCATCATTGCCAGAGCTCCCTGTTTCACTCTCATTCCTAAATGCAACCAATTGTGAATCACTGGAGACCGTATATTGCCCTCTGAATCACATTCCAAATGCGGAACTCGATTTCACCAACTGCTTCAAATTGGACGAACAAGCACGACAAGTGATTATCCAACGTTCGCTTTTTTGCCAACAGGTTATCTTACCAGGAAGAGAAATACCTGCAGAGTTTGATCACCAGGCCAGAGGAAATTCATTGACCATTCGACTAGATGGTAACAGTCCTATTTCTGCTTTATCTAGATTCAAGCTTTGCGTCGTGGTGTCACCTAACCATCAAACCAGCCAATATAGGGGATGTTCACCACACATATTGTGCCATCGCATAGGCAAGCTCAAATTTCAGGAGGATTTCTGTATATGTTATGTCTCTACCGAATATGGAGCTGAACATCTTGTTATATTTGACTCTGACTTGTCATTTATCGATCCCACTGAAGTGAGCAGAGAGATCATGCTCGAATTCATCATGGAATCCCAGGGCTTAGAAATTATTGAGTGTGGTGCCCACGTCTCGACCGATGAAACAACGGAAGGGAGCTATGAATCTAGATTAGACCAAGTCTTCGAAGACGGCTATGATAGTATCACTGATGGGAGCTATGAGTTTGAACACAGCCAAGCCTTTGAAGACGACACAAATGGAGTAGTAATCTGTGATGAGATTCTCGAGGGCCAAGAACGTACATATTGTTGCAGCTGGCTCTTCCTCTGCTTCAGTTGTCTCCCATTTTGTGAGAAACATCAGTAGCTTGGTTTTGGGAAGACGACGCTAAGCCGGAAGCTGTGTGTCTACGTCATGTGGTCTTTCTCCCATTCATGTGGCCTTGAAATATAAAAGAGATGAAGGAGGAAACCGCCACACACACAAGAAGTCTCTCTATAATCATGGTAGGTTCTTTGTTGTTGAGTGATTCCAAGATAACAAATATATTTATGATTCAATAATTATTTCATCATGCTTGTTTGTGCAGATGGATGGAGTTCTGTATGCTATAAAGGACTTCAATTTGCCACAACATCCTTTGAATCGATCGAGGATGTTCCCAATCTCCAAGCGATTAAGCTAATTCAAAGCTTTAAGTTGAACAAGTATGTCATCATTAATTGCCACTTTTTTCTTCATTATTATGCAATATGGTCACATATTTTGTTCTGTGTCTTCTGATCACTTAAGATGTTTCTGTTGAACACCAGTGCTTGCATAGAGAAGCTATCACGTGTTCAATTGCATCTGTAAAATTTATATGGTTGATATTTAAGGATTTTTGTTTCTGGCTTTTATTTTTGCTTCACAGTGGCCTGCTTTGCTTCGGTATAAAGTATAAACTTCGTCTCTAGAAAGGAACTTTTGAGTTTTGCTCTGATTATCTCATCACTAGAAATGTTTTCACCTTCGTCATCCAGAACAATG